TTTCTGACTTACCTACAACGCCCCTTTCTGTATACAGGGAGGGATGTTATAGTTTTCGGATCGATCTTCGAAGTTTCTTTTTCAGAGATTTTCAAGGCGTCTCTTTGAAATGATAGACGTACTGTTTGAAACAAGGATTCTACGAGAATTATTGTCTAAGAATTATTAATTCGAATTTTTATTACCCAACAGAACATTTTGCTTCTTTTAAGAAAGTTTTATTCGTAAAATACTAATCCGTCTATCAAATTTTCAATCTTTTGTACCAAATGAATCAGTGAGAACGAAAACGCACCAACTCGAAAAAATGAAAATAATCAAGACACACAAAAAACTGAACAGAAGGTAAAGAAGTTCTAAGAAAAACAATTTTGGTGCTTAAAGACAAGTACTTAAGGACACTTTAAGGGTCCAGGTTGGGAAAGATGCGTTAACTTCTATGAACTTTATGAAACTGACTGTCTTCAATGAAAATTGAGCATTTTCTAGTTACCGAGTTGGTGTGTTTCCGCTCTCACTGACTCAAATATTGTTCGATCTTTTTGTAAGTTGGAATTTTACTTTCAAATTCCAACTTACGAGAAAGTCCATCGAAGAATTGTTTCTCACTTTTCCATCCTAATCTCGGTTACTCCAGTGAAAGGAGTCATTGCATTAATGATTGTATTCGTAGTCATTCTGCCCGTACGTTCGTTGCCATTGATTTTTCAATTTTTTAAATTGTGAAATTCGTTTGACCGAGCTGTGGCTACATCTCCCACTGGCTGTTCGGAACGTCATGAACAGATTTTCAGAGTGCTTAAACTTGACTCTTATGACTACTTTGACTTTGATCTGAAACGAATGGCAAGAGCTGTTTCGTAACCATCGAAACTCACGTACACTCATTCCTTTTCTGAATGTGCTTGTCAGCGAATAAAGTTCGGAGGAAGTGGAGAAATTTAAAGTGTTAAGTGTTGATTTCAACTGGTCGAGTTACGTACTGAAAGCTAATTTATCCAGCATTATTGGATCAGCACACTTTCGAGGGTTTTCCCAATTACTCAGCGTGAGTTTTTGAATTGGGGAACAAGTTCAAGAGTGTGCAAAGATCCGCACATGGGCCCACTGCTCAGTTTTTTTCTCTCGTCCTTGGTGGTACAATCAAGAAAGTAAAAATAAATTTGAATGAATCGTGGTGATTGTGTGATATAAATAGTTAAATTCACCATCACTATTAATTTATAATCTTTTTTTCTCCCAAGACAAAGAACGCTAGTTTAAAACATAATCCTAGAAGAAAATTTCCATGCTCTGTAAAACATGCTTTCATTTTAATGCATAAAAGGAAATTTTTTATGACAAGCTCCTGTATGTCTCTCGAAACATTTGATTGTATCGTCTGTCTAATGACTTACTTTAACCAGCCGTTATCAAACTAAACGAATCTATGAACAGCAAAAGCTCATTGTCAGTGCAGTAGGTACAATAGAATACGTTTGCAGTCACTTGTTTATTCTTATAAATTTTCTTTTTAGACAGATTCTTTCTGATATAGTAACGCGCATTTACTAAACATGGTTTCTATAACCGTTGTCTGAGATTTTGAGATTTCCAAACATTCACCAAAAATTATTCTGTTATTCATGTAACTTGATCAAGATGCACTCAGCACGGGCAGAAAAGTTCCTCAAGTTTTAACAGTGATAATGAGTGATACATTGTCTGAAGAGTCCAACTCTTACCTTTTGACTCCAAAGCAACCTAAACCTAAGCTAATGAAATGAAATAGTCAGAAATGCAGGCTCCATATTCTATAGAAATTTTTGCCTCTGAATTATTGGAAGAATCTTCAATTTTCTTCTTTGAACTACCAACTAAGCATCACAAAAAAGGAAAACTGTCAAATGGTCGCAGTTTTGTTTTTTATTTGTATACAATTTACACGAAATTTTATTTACATGCATACAAACAAGTTTTTACACAATAACGAGCTACAATCTATCGTCTTAAGTATACACATTTTACATTTGTAAAATGGACTTGTAAATCCTTTCAATTCTATTCAGCATTTGCATAGCTATTGACTGTGTAATTTTCTGATCGAGAAAACAATATGTATCTTCATTCAGACTAAACTTTGATCCAAGACTTTTTGTCTGATCACTCAATTGGTAAATGTAACTCAACCCCCCCCCCCTCCAAAAAAAAGTCCTCTGCGCTGTTTTAAAGTTATAGTCCAGTCACAGCCTTGCCAAAGTTCAATAATTTCGGTCTTAAATGCCGTACCCAAATGTTGTTATTTGATTTACCTTTGTTATCTTTTTTATGAAATAATATGTTTTTTCGCTCGTGGCGCCCATTATTAAAATAACAGAAAAAGTTGTAATTAAGGGTTTTTTTTAGTTCAGTTGATATACTTTACAAGTGAACAACCCTTTCAGAGGCTGATGAAACAATACGGGTTTAAAACTCTATTATTAATGATATCTTTTAGAAAATTGGATCTATTTTACTAATTTTAAGGCTATTTTTATAACCACCTTTTCCCAATTGCAATCGTAATAAATCTCTTTTTTCGTATCATTTTTTAGGTAGCCAAGGTGTGTATCAATCATAAATTAGTGTATTATGCTGCCCAAAATATAGTCAAAATTACCTCTTTTTAATAGTGTAAGAATAGAAAAATCAATGTGATTGTATTATCCGACAAAAATATGTCTCTTGTTTTACTGTCATGAGTTAGCCACACAAGCAAGCACTCTTGAAATTTATATTACTTTTACAATCTCGTTTGAACACGACACTCATAAACGAATAAACTAAGGTAATGGTAACATACAAAAGTAGTAAACTTATATGTACTCACATAAAAATTATGTACATTGTTTACCTGAGTTCATGGACTTTTCGAAAAAAATCATCAAGTCAATGTAGCGGTTTAACACATACAAACATTGCAATCATGTACTTACAATTATGGCTTTTATCTTGGTTCTGGTAACTTGATAGTCGAAGTTTTGAATGGTGATAATGAACAGTGATTTTGAAAAATGCAGTCGTTGAAAAACCGACTGATAATTAAAATTCATAGACAAAGAAGACCAAGGAAATTGGAGCCATTTTATTGGTGGAAGCGTGTAGTGGCAGTGGACAAAAAAGGCAACTAATAGACTAATGAACACCAACCCACGAAGGAACCTATAATTAGTTCATCATTTTTCGCCTTAAACTATAACAACCACCCGTTTCAACCAATAGAAATGCTCAATTTCTCCTTGGTCTATTAATTTGTCCATCAATGTTTGTAATCAGCTCGCATGAGCAATTTTGAGTTGCACTCACCGAGAAATTGTTCGACTTTCAATTTCACAGATGAACGTGGTAGCAAAATCCTTGTCATTATCGGGGATAGGTCAAGTAGACTTCCAGAGAACCAGGCTCCCGAAATCCCAAACTCCTTCCCTCTTAGTTCCGCCAATGCAGAGATAGCCTCAATAGACTGATATAATGACTACGTCATTCGATTCAATATCGAACTCTTGGTTCAAACCATAACAAATAATATGACCTAACATAACTTATGTACAAATTCAAAATGGGTCAGTTTTGTTAATTCATTACAATTTAGTCATTGACAGGTCATAAATCAATTAAGAACTCATTTAATACGAGAATTATCGATTGAAGGAAATACCTACTTGAACGCATTTTACCACCATGACGCGAAGTACGCGAATCAAAGACAAGGTTATATTGTTTACAATTGGACCGCGTTTAGCAGAAAGGAACCAAGGCACATCTGCTATTGCCAACTTTAATTGGGCAATTTAATTTTTTACATGAGAACGTTTGTGCAGATTCTCTTGAAGATTCTAGGGAATTTGCTTTGTACCATGCAGAAATTTCACTAAAATTTGCACATGTATCCACACAACCGTTTGCATGTAAAAAATTAAATTGCCCAATGGAGAAATTGACCCAAAGGTCTGAAATTTGATGAATTTCGTGTTTAAGTGGAATCCACTGAGTGAATTGAACACACAGATACCCTTGATTCATCAATTGCGCAATTACTAGAGGAGACATGACAAAATAACCGATTCTGCTAAAATACATGTGTTTAAATGGGAAACGCCGCCAGATGACGTCGTAAGGCGGCACATATTCTCTCTTTAAAATCATTTTTTTTTCCCAATATCCCATGTCAGAAAAAAATCATGAAAAATACTGCGAACTCAACTCATTAGGCACTTTCAGATGAAGCAATAAAATTTTTGTGTGCAAAATCTTCATTAAATTTCGCAATACCTGATGTAGCTTGGTTCCTTTCTGCATAGCGTGGTCAAATTGAGCCAAATTGAACCGTGACGTAGTCTCTAAATCTGTCTATTTCCCACCCTGAAACGGTGGAGAGGTAGCCAACCCCGGGAAAAAACCCATTGGATCTGGAGTCCAGACTCTTGAAAACATCGACAAGAAAAAGTACTCTTGACTCAATCAGATCTAAGCTTAAATCAAGAACCAAGCCTCTCAATTTGAGCGGATTTCGTTTTAATTCAAGCAAAAATCCGATTGAATCAAGAGTATTTTTTCTTCTCAATGTTTTCAAGAGTCTGGACTCTAGATCCAATGTGGTTTTTTTTTCAGTGTGGTCCAATTGAACCAAATCGAACCGTGACGTAGTCTCTAAATCTGTCTATTTCCCACCTCGAAATGGTGGAGAGGTAGCCAACACACACACACACACAAAAAACAAAAAAACAAATTGGATCTAGAGTTCAAACTCTTAAAAACATCGACAAAAAAAAGCACTTTTGATTCAATCAGAATGATGCTTAAATCAAGAACCAAGCCTCTCAATTTAAGCGGATTTCGTTTTAATTCAAGCAAAAATCCGATTGAATCAAGAGTATTTTTTCTTGTCAATGTTTTTAAGAGTCTAGACACCAGATCCAATGTGTTTTTTTTTTCCAGTGAAGGTGACAAGTGACGACGGGGTAGCCGCCCCGAAGCTCAACCCGCGGGGACCATCTGGAAGACAGTGGGAGCGAAGGCGCCACTGAACCAGTCCTCCTTGATGAGGTCGGCGCCCTTCTCGCCGATCATGATGGTGGGCGCGTTGGTGTTGCCGGAGACGATGTTGGGCATGATGGAGGCGTCGATGACGCGGAGGTGGCTCACCCCGTAGACGCGGAGCCGCGGGTCGACGACGGCCGTCGGGTCCGAGGAGGGACCCATCTTGCAGGTGCCCACCGGGTGGTAGATGGTCATCGTCAGGTGCCGGATGGCGCACTCCCAGTAGGCGTCCGAGCCGAAGGCTAGACGATGGCACCCAGGGATCGGGATCCGGTGGAGCCGGGAGTTGAACTGCCGCAGGGGCGACGCCGCGTTCACCTGAAACGACAATTGCGGCCGGGTCAATTGAAGGCGCTTTCAAAGATATTAAACGAAGGGCTTGGAAGACAAGGCGCATGAGAAATACGCATTTGCGGTTTCGAAATTGAGGCACTGGTTGCGAAGAAGGTTCTGGTTGCGAAAAGGGCACTTCTCGATTGCGGTGTTTCAGAATCTCTGTTGCTAATTAATCCCTTGGAGAAGACTTTAATGGGCGATTTTTCCAGAATTCTTTCCATAGATAATTGTAGAATTATAAGGAATATTCAGTGGAATTTTGAGTGAAATGGATGCATTCACTCTGCTAACAATGAATGAAATATTAGGAGAAACTCTGAAATACTGCAACCGAGAAGTGCCCTTTTCGCATCCAGTGCCTGAATTGCATGGATCCTTGTGGAGGAAAAATGTCTAACTGACTTTTTGATACTTACAAATACTCTATCAAACGGAACTATGTGCAGTAGGACATAAGCCCTGAGACCCATAAGAATACGTGCATACCATGGCTCACGTCATAATGCACATAGTTCCGTTTGCAGACATATGCTTTTATGGGAGAAGCAGAGATATTAGTTCCTTATTGCAAAATGTAATCCAAATCACGATTCGTTCCGTAAAATATAGCCCTTCAAAGTGCAAAAATCGTTGAGTCGAGGAAATTTAGTTTGAGTTGACCTAAAAACATTCCTTATCTGTACTTCGTGTGCGTAGAACTACATCTACATGTTTCCAAATTCTCTGGAAGATGTCGTGTATTTCCTAAAAAACTAACGGGTTTTTTTTTGTAAACTTCACGGAAAATTTTATCCGTAATTTGATCTGAATAACTAAAAAATTAATTCATCAAAGCTAAATAAGTTTGTAACTGCCAAAAGAATCACCCCCAAAACTACTTGGTTTATGATACAATATCTCATGATACGTGCTGTGGGGCGAGATACCACTATTCGACCTTCTAGGAGCACGGTGTGCCTATTCAATTCATTGAAGGCGTTTTAATTTGGCGGCGGTACGCTGAATTTCTATGATGTATGCCGGGTTGCGTTTGCATTAAGTAACTGTGTTTCCTGTTCATTTTTCAAACGTAAACCCTAGTCCAGACGGTACGCAACTCTTGAATGTGGGATTCGTTTGTTTTCATATTGTCAAATAAAATACGCCAGCATGACGTCACCTTAGTCATGATCGTATATCATCAACTTGTGTCGAAAGTATTTGACTCACCTGCAAAGCTATTTTGACTCCCTCCACTAGTGTGGCAATGTCTTGAGGATGCGCAAAGTAATTCGCATCAATATACGGGTACTCAAAAGGGTTTGAAGACCTTAATCGCACCCAACCTGAAAATAAGGGAAAATTATAGAAGTTAGACGATTTATAAGCAGGGAACATTTTTACTCGAAGAGGAAGATCACGAATGTCGGCGTCAATTCGTCGTCTCTCTTACGTAACTAAAATTTCAGTGTTGCAAAATTTCCTTTCATAAATGTTATTTTTCTATCAGGAGAATCTTGGGCAATTCTAACTGACTGTTTCAATGATTTTCCCTCTGATTCATTAAAAAAGTTTCGGTATCGAAATTACGGCGAATCGACGACTCATTTTCATTTAATTTTTGTTTCCGGTTGATAATGGAATTGTAACCATTTCGAAACGTTCCGGGTTTTTCTTTTGATTTGTCTCCCTTTTGCAGCCTTTCCCCAAATTAAGTCGTTATTCCATTTGGAGATCAGAAACATTTTGGACAAAAAATCCACAGGTACATTCTCCTAAAAAATTGAATTTTTTAAGTGAATTTTGCAACCTTGGAGTGGAGTTACGTTTCTTCGTCCGGAAAACGACGAATATAGCGGACGGAACAAGTGGATTACATTTTGCGATAAGGAACCACTATCTTTGGCTCTCCCATAAAAGCGCATATCTGCATAGGGAAACCAATGACATGTATGTTGTTTCTAAAATGGGCCAGAAATAGTGGTTCCTTATTGCAAAATGTAATCCAAGTGTCACTCACCAACATGATCGTTTTTAGCTGAGATGATAGATGAAAACCTTTGCAAAATTTGTCAAGGTTTAAAGTCGGTTAAAGCCTGGAAAATGCATTAATTAAAGAGTAAAACGGGAAATATCCAAAATGGAATTACGGCGTTCTTCTTTTGAACGATATATCGACGGTGAAACTACCAAACCACGTATCTCGTTTGCGGTGTTTAAAAATCTACGCTCGCATTTTATTTTTTTGAAGTAGACCAAATCAATATCATTCCTTGAAATTTTCACGGAATTTTCTCCGCACGAAGAGGAAAAATCACAGAAATTTTCAAGACTGGACGTTAAGTAGCTTTTCATTTAAAAAATAAAGTATGACAGGAAGTCTGCGACGTCGCAAACCGAGATACGTGGTTTGGTAGTTTCACCGTCGATTTGTAATTTATCATTAAATAAGTCGTAGCTCGATCATCAGGGGCACGGGGCTCTGTAGCGTCAAGAAAATTCTCGATAGGATCGGGAACCTCCACGCGCGACGCGACACGGTAATCGTACAGCTTTTACGAGGATTTATCACGGTTAGATGCCCGGATTTTATGCTTTATTGATCGTTCATCGTTGGCGTTATGTCCTTTTCAAGAAACGTTCAACTTGCCCGAACGACCACTCCGAATTATGCAACAGACCCGGTGTCCACGTCAGGCTCCTAATTGACGGCACGTCACTTGCTACACTCTTACCCTTGGGGATCCGTCCGGCATAACGTCCATGCCACCGATCGACTTTTCGGTTATGGTAATAGACTCTCGTTGAAAGTGCTGCTGCTTCCCGGAATTAATACTAAATGTCGGAACTTTACTCGGAATATCTTCAATAGAGAATTTGCAGGTGTCTTAAATTTTGTGAATTTCATCTTTGAAATGATACTACTAGAAAAACTGAGCAGGAGGATATCCTTGGTCTCCAAATTGAGCAATTATTGGAGAAATTATGACGAAATAACCTAATCTGCTAAAATACATGTGTTTAAATGGAAAATGGCGCCGGATGACGTCATAAGGCGGCACATTTTCTCATCTAATACTATTTCTCTCCAATTTCGCATGTCAGAATTTTTTTTGAAAAATACTGCAAACTCAGCTCATTAGGCACTCTCAGATGAAGCAATAAAATGTGTGTGTGCAAATTCTCCATTTCATCAACGATTTTTTGTCCTCGCACCCGTTTTTTCCAGTAATTTACGTGCACGCATTTTTTCGGCAAGGGAGTTTTGGTCCACGTGCCGGTTGAGACCCAAAGTTAATTGGCCCACATGTTCATACAAATGACAATTGCTCACGACGTTTTTGAATGAAAATGTATGTCTTGGAAGGATGAGGGTTTTCTTGTTTTTTTGTTTTGTCTGTTTGGTCCAACGGAGAACAATATATAGTTGAGAGTTTTGGTAAAAATGGGGGAGCTTCAGTTCCATGCGACAAAATTCACTAAAACTCTCTACACCTCTTTACTTAATTATCTTTCAAGAAAGTCCCACCTTGTTATACCTGAACTGGATAAACCTCTATATTTGCCTCAGCTAAAGGCTCTTAGATTTTCCTGTCTACGATGAGTATCTTGATTTATTTTGCGAGGAAAGATCCGTACGTTTAAAGGATGCCTGTCAAAGGAGGCCAGCGCGGAACGTGCATCGGCGCCTACAAACCTAAGTGGATACTTCAAGCATTGTGCAATTCGTGAAGTATCCACTTAGGTTTGTAGGCGCTAGTGAGCCTCTCGCGCTGGCAGCACGCCGCTCCGCTCTGTCAGGCTTTAATATTTATACTGGCATAGTCAGCGTTTTTAACTCATGATTTTGAAATGTTTGCGCACTCTGCATTGATTATTCTCTTTTAAATTGATGGGAAAAAATATGTATCAATTTATCAAAGGAGAATAATAATATAATGTGTGTTTTTTAAATATTGGTGGTTCCGTGTTAAATTTAATAATTTCCAAAGCTTTTTAATTTTTTCTTTCACATTTTGTGCTTTTATTGTGCTGCAGCGAGGTGAACGCGCAACCCAACGCTCAAAATTTGACGTATTTGACTCTAAAAGATCAATGTGCAAATGGGTTAAAACTAAAGATTGCGTGCTTCTTGGTTTTTTGGCGCGTATACGTAGTATACCGCCTTTGCGATCGTTTCGAACCCTGCTCGATACAATAACCGAGTCCCTTAGTTCCTTACCGAAAAGTGACTACCGCGAACTTCTGAGATTTTCCAAAGCGTGTAAAAAGTTTATTTATCCATCAATAATTATGATTTAAAGTTGTTTCTCATTCTGGGG